AACACATACATTTTGTAACTCTGTTTTAAGCAGAACATTCGGCACAAAGAGGCAAAGACTAGATAAATATTAAATCCTTTCTTTTCATTTAGTGTCTTAATACATTGAAATGTTGACTGGGTTTGAATGCCGTATGACTATGGTTGCAATATTTCACACCTTCATTTATGTGGCATACATCTTCATAACAAGGCAAGACTAATAAATGTTTAGCCCAGATAATCAACATCACTGCAGATGTTAAAGTATTAATGGAATTGGAATTTAATAATGTAAAACAGTTGCAGATTTATTCTACAATAAAGCACTGATGACTTTGATTAGCTAGATACCGAGGTACGTGTTCATTTTTCCCAGGGCATCGCAGACAGTGGTTAGGTCGCTGCGTAGATCTTGAACCACGTTCTCAATGCTCCTGGTGTCCTTCAGTAAATCAATGCTCTGGGTGTACGGGTTGTAGTAGACAGAAAAAGGCCTCTTTATTGTTTTAGCAAATTCCCTGTTTAGAAGGAACAACGTTAATTTACATTATTAAGTCCAAATGTGTCTCTTTTACACAGTTGTGGATGATTGTCCATTTTCACATTTGACTGGATATATTTACCTCATTTTCTCTTTTGCCTCTTCAAAACTCTCGGAGACAAAATAGACATCTTGAAACGTTGTAATGAGGCACTCCTGGTAGCATGTGGTTTTGGGATCAAACATCTTCACTGTTGCCTTGTCAGATAACGCATGCTGCATAATCAAAGATTATTCATTCACTTATAAACTATAAAATCTTAATGCTTGAGGTGCTTAAATATAGTTAACAAAGGGCTTCATACTCTCAACTCTCCAATAGAAGACAGTAGACCTGCTCCATAGGCTCTCAACTGACCGTCTTGTTTGCACAGTCCAAATTCAATTGTGAAGAAATAGCACTAGAAAAAAAAACAGCAGTTCATTGCATAATAAACATGTTGCATATATTGCAAAGGTTTAGAAGCAAGATTATCTACAACACGTTCCTTCAGGCCTTTATGAGATATACCCACTCATACTGAAACCACCAAAAACCTTATACCCAGAGCTGATTGTCTCACTAAAGTCCGAGATACAGAGCCGGTGATCTGATTTCAATGCAAATGCATGTGACTCAACACCATAGATCAAACTTCATGCCATGAAAAACTTCAGTGACCTTTTTATTTCGGTGTCATGTTAGGAACCTGGCAGTTCGAGATGACATTTAAGAATTCAATAAGCTGCTGTCACACTTACTGTTGCCAGCTTCTGCACATCCTGGTCTGAAGCGCCTAGAGATGCAAGGCCAATCTCTTGAGAAAACTGAGCAAACTTGGGATCTGCCAGGAGCGCCACATGACCCAGCAGTTCATGGCAGGTGTCCCTGAGGACATGAAAACAGTTTCCAGGTTAGAGGTGATGAAGAAAAATGACATTTTCTACCAAATATTTATTGGTGGGGGTTTATACTCACGGTTCTGGTGTGTAGAGTGGATCAGTGCTGTGACGTATATACTGAGTGCAATTAAACACTCGATAAGCCAGACCGGCCAGGAAGTCTCGTGGTGACAGATATCCAGCCACAGGTCGTACGGTAAAACCTGACCTCTCTGCAAGGTTCACAATCAAAACCTCCAGATTAAATAGTGTAGACTTTTTAACTGAATGAATCCAATTAATAATGCAAGTAGAAAGTAGTTGCATGGCTGTGACTTGACGTGACAACATTTTTTACCACGTAAGAATCGAGACACATCTTCCAGCTGTGGGATGTTGTCCTCCCTGTATCCACAATGCTTTGTGAGAAGAGGGAGGTTTTTTAAGTGCTCGCGGCAGGCGTGAGTTGGATAGAGTTTTGTAAGTTCTCTGAAAATTACTCCCCATGTCTTCACTTCTTCTGGTGTGTACTCGATCCGTGGGATGGGCTGCCCACTGAAAAGATTTTAAAAAAAGATGTTCTGATTCATATTACTTGAAACTTGAATTTCATATAATTTCCATTTATGGAACTGTATTATGCTTCAGCTTTTAATTATTGTAGCATTTTTAACTAGTTAACAATTGAGCTACAAGAACCCAAAAACAATTATACAAGAATATAAACTATATTATAATCCATACTAACAATTTGTAGTTCATTGCAACTTCCACAAAGTACTTCCTTCTCTCCCGATACACTTTGTCTTTAAAGCCCTGCAACAAAGAACAAAGGATCACTTTACAATAAGGTTTAATTTTTAACCTTAGATAATGCACTGGTATCATGAACAATTTTTACAGAATCCATTAAGCTAGATTAAAGTAAGTTTATAAATACACTATTAGTCACTGGTAACTGGTTACTAAACAGATTTACGTACTGGATGGTCAGCATCCAGTTCTGAGCCATACATTAGCACTCTATGAGAGCATTGGTCCAGCTCTGAGATCTTTTGGGGAAACCATGGTATTCCTTTCCCATCTGGCAACCCACCCAAAACACACACACAGTCCAAACAGTCTGGAATAAATAGTCAGGTGAATCAGTAACATTGTCACAAAGCTGGAACATAATTACAGTGACTATGCTTCTGCTCACTGAGTTCAGGCTTACCGGTCTCTGCAGACCACACTTGTTGAGGTGTGTTATATGAGACAATGTTGACGTGGTCTTTCAGGTGCTGCACCAACTCACTGAACTCTTTCTTTGTGCAGTTGCACTCTGCATAAATCTCCACCTCATTGGTGACTCTCTTGGATCTCCGAGACTCAATGTGGGACAAATTCACATGCTTCTCCTTTAAACAAACAACGGCAGGATGTCACTTTGGTTTCAATCAGAAGTCTATTAAAATTATTATACATTAGATATACTTATTAAAGTGTGCTATTAATCTACCCCACCAAAAGATGACGTGTTCACTAACCTGAAAGAATCTCAGCGCTTTCACCAGACAGCCCACTTCATTCTTCAGAGAGAAAATCACTGCTAATTTCCCAAGGTCATGGGTGGATTTTGGTTCTTCTTTATCAGGTCTTTCATCTATCCGATTAAAGGATGTCCTGCGGAGCTGTGCGGAGGTGTTACTTAGTGAATGTAAAACTCTTTGGATGCAGAAATTGGTTAAGATAAAAGCGTATTTATTCTAAACGTTAAGCACACAAGGGTAGTAATTTATAACCTCAAAAAGGAGAATTTACACTTTGACCTTAACTGCCTTTGACCGACTTCTGTTTTTTTTTTATTACATCACTGTGCCCAGTTCCAGCTGGCCTGGCTTTCAGTCAGTAAACTAGTGAATTTTGTAATAAAACATTTCATTAGATTTGCATCTGCATCCAGAATCACCCATGGCCATTAATTAAGTTTTCCAATGTAAACCAATGGCTTATGCAAGTAACTGGCTTTAAAAAAAAGCACAAAAAAATACAATAATTTAATATATTCCAAAAATTTTAACAAATATTATTTGACTATATGGAATGTGGTGCCCAAAAGAGGGGCCATCAAAACGGTTCAGTACTCACCATGGAGGCTGCAAGGTGTTGTTGATCATACATTGCTGAATCCAAAGATAGACCTCGTCGAGCCCAGTATTTGCTGGAGAACATCATCATAGCGGGCTGCATCTTAGGAATTGCTTCTTGACCCCTTTTCCTAAGAAGCCCAACTGGTGATTTAGGGGCTGTCTGTGGCCCCTTCGGGTTAGGTTGTAGTTCAGAGGACATAGTTGCTGTCTCTTGAGATGTCTTCTTTCCCTGCATTTCATATGGCAAAGGTACTATTGTCTCAGACGATATCCCCTTAAGCTGCCCCTTCAGAGATCACTGGGAGCTCTTTGCATGTGCCACAGTACCTGACACTTCTCCCCCGGCAGTATCAGAGCTGGGATTATATACTGTGACGAATGACGTTGAAGGGCCACTGTCTCACGGGGTAGGCAATCGCTCATATTAGCTTTTGAGGGGATGGCTGTTCCATTAGGGAATGTCGAAACGTCCAAGCCGTGACTGAAGTTGATAAGCTCATCTCACCTTCTAGTAGAAATGAATCTGGAGCAAAATAATCCAGATTTCAGGATTTCCGTAAATGGTGCTTCAATTTCCAGCTGGACAGTGAAGGGGGGGTTGATAACCGCAAACAGCACCTATAATTTTTTGTAAGATATAAAGGCCTTTGAATAGTTTATCCTTCAGAGCCAGGATTTAGAAACATGTTCAATATAGAAAGCAAGAAAAAGGTAGTGAGATTAGAGCAATAATTTTCATAAAATATGATAAAATATGAAAACCTAAATGTCAACATTATTATTTAAACATCACTGTAAGTAAAATGCATTGAGAGCAATTGTGGAAACTGCCTTTTGACCACCTTTGAGGACAGATGCATATTGTTTATGGGTTTTGGTGAATGAGCGCATGCTTGTCAGTGCACAAAATGCTGCCATTTCTTTAATGAAAGGGAGCTAGAAAAGAGATAACATTACAGCAGTGAGCAGTGAGCTATCAGCTTCCTCTGAGGCAATTTCCTGTGGAACAGGAAATGAAAGAGATTGAACTTGATTCGCAGTGTCTTTGTTGTGACCTGTGGTTACGAGTGGATAAAAGACACTTCATCCTCAATCAGTATTTTCACCGTCTCTCCATCTCATCTGCAAATGTCACAGCGGGCCTACTGAACGAAGACTGCAGACTCAAACCACATTTACATGCCAGTTGGAACTGGTGACTTTAGTTTATATGGCCAAGCAAATGTTCTCCTTCACTCTCAAGACAGTTATATTGTTTTGTTTTTGTGGGTGTTTTTTAAAAATTTTTTATCTAAGGTGACCAACTAATTACAAAGTACACTTACCTAATTAATGTAATAATATGGGATACAAAATGGCTCATTTCACTAGACAAACACAGAAAGTGTAATGAACGCAAGATACATTTACGGTTCTCTTAAAAAGAGAAAAAAATAAAAGCAACTTACCAGTCTTAAATGGTGTTCTGAAATATAACTCATGAACTAATGGAAGGAAGACAGATTTTAATTTGAATCTGAATTATTTAGGAAAAGAGCAAACTGATAACAAAAAAAAAAAATGATATTCAACAATGAATACCCCACCTCTGAAACATTATGAAAACTCTTTCAATACAGTGAGAAGGAATGATTATTTCAATGAAAGACAATATGGTACAAGATTTTACAAAAATAATGCTTTAGGGATCCCTTTGAATCCTTGTTTTACATTCATATATTTTCTCTGGGATATTTTACAATGTGGCATTTGGTAGCAAATATCTACATGACACCCAATACTGTTCATCTTGCTGGAATACAGGGAACTATAAAATCTGTACTATACACCTTGTAGTGCTATACACTAGGAAATGAAGGCTACTTTGCAGCCATTGTGTGTTGATTCTTTTAAGTGGCTGTGGCCGTTGGAGATGACGTGGTCTTGTCTGTGTGTGGATCTTGGTGAGGTCTGAGGTGACTCAAGTATTCCATATTCACTGGTTTCTAATGCTGCAGAGGGTTCAGTGACTGTGTTGAGACCCAGAATCTCACTCACTGAATGGGGCAAGTCCTTAGAGGATATCGGAAGAGATTCAAAACTTGTATTAATGGGATGAAATAATCACTTATTACTGAGAAAAACGTGTTATAGAGATCACATACCCCAATATATGCAATCATGCTTAGGACATACCTTACAATTCTTTATCTGCATGCAGATAGCTTCAGATTTGCTAAGGATTTCTTCGATGTCCAGTTTCATGGAGAGTTCATTTATATGCTGTGAAGAAAACATAATAGGTGAACACAAGCTGATTTATGTATGTTATAAAATGTAGATACACACATTACCATTCAAACATTTGGGGTCTGTATGGTTTTGTTAATGTTTTCATAGAAGTCTCTATTGCTCATCAAGGATGCATTTATTTGATCAAAAATACAGTAAAAACTGTAGTAATATGAAATATTATTACATTATGAAATAACTGTTTTCTATTTGAATATATTTTAAAATGTAGTTTATTAGTAGTTGATGGCAAAGCTTCATTTTCAGCAGTCATTACTCCTTTAGAAATCATTCTAATAAGCTGATTTGGTGATTAAGAAACATTTATGTATGTTGTGCTATGTAGCAGTATTTGTTGGAAACCGTAATAATGTTCTTTTCAGGATTTTTTGATGAATAGAAAGTTTAAAAGAACAGAATTTATTTGAAATATTTTTTTTTATAACACTATAAAAGTTATTTACTGTTAATGCATCCTTGCTAAATAAAAGTATTAATTCAAAATGTAAAACTTTTAATTAAAAGAAAAAAACTTTGAATGGTATTGTATGATATAAAGTTAATGCTAACCTTCAGGATTTCATTGAATCCATATTTTCTGTCCATAATTTTTTGTTTTTCTGAGTCTAAAATGGCACAGCACACCAGAAGGTGAAAGTTTTGGCAAGGTAGTCTGGTCCACATGATCTGAAGGAGAAAATAGTTGCATAAAATAACATATGACATCAAATGCCAATATAACACTTAATCAAGTATAATCCAAATTATCACAGACAATGGCTACAGTGTACTGAGAAATGTGTTTGAGATGGCCAATATAAAAAAAAAAAAAAGATTATTAATCTTTTTAATATTATTACATTTAAAGATTATTTAAATATTATTAATAACTAATTTAATTAATATTAAATTAGTTATTACACACCTCCCAAAGGCGCAGGACATCCTGAAAATGCAGCTCTCTCTTGAATCGGATCAATAACCAGCGAAAACAGAAATATAAGTACCCAGAATCCTGCGCCTCTGTAAAACCACATAAACACAGAAATGTACACAATGGCTACTTATGGTCACAGAATCCTGTGAAATCAACATTAAGGAAAAAGACTATTTCCAATAAGTCTTCCTTGGGGTATCTTACCTAGGTAGTTCCAGAAGGCCAGGTCTAGCAGCCGAAGCAAAGTGCTGAGTTGGATTAGTTGGGTCTTCATCCCCTGCATCTGCTCTTCAAAGTTTTCATGCTGTAACAAACATGAGTTTTACAGCTTCTCATGCACAGCAAACCCAAGAGTGCTAAAGAGAGACGTTCTGTAATGAACACACTGCATTACCATTTCATCCATGAAGGAAACAAAGCACCAGAAGGCATCCACTTCATTCTCCATCACAAAGAGGATGGGAGAGAGCAGATCACTCATGCCCTGCACATACCCTGCACAGGAACAGGAAACTAGGGGTCAGGGGTCACTTTTAAGATAAAAACAAGACGAATGAAATAATTAAGCCATGTTCATTCTGAGGAAGACGTCTGACAGTACACATGAATTTGCAAAAGCTAATATACTTATTAATGCTTCCAGAAACAAAAATACACACTTTTCCATGCCTTTTTTTTTTAGTATTCATAGTGTGAATAATACATTCACACTGAAAATTCCAAAAAAGAAAAAGTGCAAAAATACTCAGATGAACCCAGAAGTGTTGAATGTTGGCCACTTCGTGCACTCAACTGTTGTAGCTTTCCTTACGTATAGTGGAAGGGGAGAGAAGCGTATAATCTACTAACAACACTGGATTGATGGATTAACATATTAATACATGACATTTTTTGGTGTTTAAATAAATGGTAGTAAACTGACTACCGCAAACCTTAGTAAATCCCCTTGTATGACTCATTTAAATACTCTCCTCTAGGGATGTAACGATTCACTCAACTCACGATTCGATTCACGATTTTGATTTCACAATTTGATTTACTCACGTTTTTTTTTTTTACAAAATGAGACTGAAGACGAAGTAAATGAAAAGGTGTCGTTTTATTAGGCTATTGCTGCACATTTTTCTGTGAAATTGAAATATAACAAAACTAAATTTAAATTTTAAAACAAACCCCAAATCAAACAAGTAAGTTACACAAATAAAATAAATCTTAAAACTAAAAGATAAAAAGATAAAAACAAGACGAATTAAATAATTAAGCCATATTCATTCTGAGGAAGACGTCTGACAGTACACATGAATTTGCAAAAGCTAATATACTTATTAATGCTTCCAGAAACAAAAATGCACACTTTTCCATGCCTTTTTTTTTAGTATTCATAGTGTGAATAATACATTCACACTGAAAATTCCAAAAAAGAAAAAGTGCAAAAATACTCAGATGAACCCAGAAGTGTTGAATGTTGGCCACTTCGTGCACTCAACTGTTGTAGCTTTCCTTACGTATAGTGGAAGGGGAGAGAAGCGTATAATCTACTAACAACACTGGGTTGATGGATTAACATATTAATACATGAAATTTTTTGGTGTTTAAATAAATGGTAGTAAACTGACTACCGCAAACCTTAGTAAATCCCCTTGTATGACTCATTTAAATACTCTCCTCTAGGGATGTAACGATTCACTCAACTCACGATTCGATTCACGATTTTGATTTCACAATTTGATTTACTCACGTTTTTTTTTTTTACAAAATGAGACTGAAGACGAAGTAAATGAAAAGGTGTCGTTTTATTAGGCTATTGCTGCACATTTTTCTGTGAAATTGAAATATAACAAAACTAAATTTAAATTTTAAAACAAACCCCAAATCAAACAAGTAAGTTACACAAATAAAATAAATCTCTTAATATGAACAAACTAAGGCTTTGTCTGTGCTCTTTCCATTTAAAATTAGAGGCAACCACTGGATTTTAATCATGATCCAAACAAAGATGCAGCATACATGCAGCATGAGTAGTTTTTAATCGAAATTTGAAGCAAAAACAGAATGGCTTGACTTTAGTTTTGTGAAACTATACAACATAAAACATATGTGAACGAAACAGCAGATGAGCTTAATGAGACGCAGATTCACTCTCTGACAGCAAGAGGCGCTTATGAACAGCAATGATACAGCGATTCCTGGGTTACCGCTGTAAACAAAGCAGAGCTGTGCTTATGAATGCTACTTTAATATGCATTGTTCAGAGGTTGTTCTAAACATTGTTCATTGTTCTAAAGATAGTCAGTTCCCCTCAGAGATACATTCATATAAACTCCTACTCCAATTGTATCGCGATTTGTTTGGCATCTCAACCGACTTGAATCGTCACATATTTGAATCGATTTTCGACCGGCTCGCAGTTAATCGTTACATCCCTACTCTCCTCCCATAAATAAAAAGGGTATACGTTGGTGTAAGCGGTTAGCAAATCTGGCCCCAAATCTGGGTATTGGGTTTTATTTATTTTTTTATAATTTAACCCAAATTTAAAATGATTTTGTAGATCTTACCCCACAACATGCCCAGAAAACATTAAATAAGAGTGCAGGCTCTATGCAGCACTGCTTATAATGTATTCAAAATCATTTATAAAATGTCTGTAACTCATGACTACACTCTACTGGGCTAATGCTGCAATAAAAAACAGCATTGGCAAACCGTTCACATTCCTCATCAACAGAATGATATTGAAATAGATATTGCACAATATTTGTCTACAGCTGAGCCACAGATTAAGCCTGACCTATTTACACTAAAACAACCCCTGACACTTCACTTACTCATTGATCTGAACTGATTTCCTTAGGCTATCCAGGAATGCTGTGTTCCCTCCCTGGTGGAAATGAATAGCTGGCAGTGCTGTGCCATCCTTCAAGCGGAAAGTGATGTATGACCAGCCCTCACATTTGACTGTGATAGACCTGAGGTCACACACATTAAAAGAGAAGGCCCACTTGTTCCGGTCATTTGCGTGGTTTGATCCACCTGTGACAATATGACAATAAATAATAAGCTAGGTTACTGTTACAGATTTCCATCTTCTGGTGTTGGAAAAACAGGACCAGACACATAATTCACTGACTGATGCATGAGATAACATGCTGACATTTTCTGTTAGGTACTGGGTAAAGTGCATGGTGACAATCATTTTGATTTTTAAATGATTTCAACCACATTTGACTCATAGAAGAGCAATTGTTTACCATCTCCATGTGTGTGGACTTTTCTCCGGAATGAGACAGCATTGATCATGTCCCACTCTGTTTCATAGCTCAGCTGATGGTCAATTGGACGGTGAGGGTTGCCTTCTAAACTCTGAGTCCATTCCACCACTGAGCTGGAGTCCTTCACACAATCAAACAAACCAAAATCAGGATATCCTAATCCAGAACTATTCAGAATTATAAAATACCAGTACAGAGCACAGAAGAACTGCAGGAGTGTTTTGAACTCTCAGTCAACATAAATATGCAAAATCCCACAGATGAAACAGGTTATGCATAATTTATGAATGATCTAACAAACCTTGCAGGCACACAGCATGTTTGAGGGATCTGCATCCTCCAGTGGTTTATATTCCACAAGGGTTTCACCATCCTACAGTTAAAGAAGAAAAAAATAAGATATTGGGAGATACTGACAGATGGCTGTGATTTTACAGATGTTTCAACAGCAAGGTGGGATTTTCTTAAATACATACACTACTGTTTAAAAGTTTTTGGGTAAGAAATTTATGAAAGAAATTCATACTTTTATTCAGCAAGGAAGCATTAAATTGATCAGAAGTGATAGTAAATACATTTATAATGTTACAAAAGATTTCCTTCTTAAAGGCATAGTCCACCCAAAAAAGAAAATTCTGAAAAAGAAGATATTTTGAAGAATGTGGGTAACCAAACAGTTGACAGTAGCCATTGACTTTCATAGTATTATAGCTATTTTTTCCATACTGTGGAAGTCAATGGCTACCGTTAAATGTTCGGTTACCAACATTCTTCAGAATATCTTTGTGCTCAACAGCTGTAAGAAACTCATACAGGTTTGGAACAACTTGAGGGTGAGTAATTAGGGCTGTCGCGATAACCGCAATATCGCAATACCGCGCTATTGACGAGCAAACCACAGAGGAATGCAAGAACCCCAGCAACCGCGATTTTTGCTGTTTTCTTTTTTCGTAAGGTTATGCCCTTCTCGTTTTACACTTCATGCATGTGGACTGAATATTAAACAAGTTAGTAATGATAACAATGTGTAGCATGCTGATTTGTAGAGGCTCTGTAGATTTGCACTTAACAAGCCTAAACAGACAGTGAATGAGAGAGAGATCGACTGAGCGCGTGCGATTACTTGCGTCTGTCCTCAGGCCGAGTCATAAATATTTGTGAAAATAGGTTGTCATGTCCAAGGAAAGCGAAATCTCTGTCTTAGCATCGACGCATAGTCGGTCAGCTGAGCCTTCTAAAGTGGTGCTCACTGACCGTTATTTTTCATTCTCTTCTGTTTACTTCACTTCCTGTTTCAACGCTATTTGGTTTCGGTTTCATTGTCTTCTGAATATGATCTCGTTAGTTATATCGTAATACATACACACACAAATTATATATATATAATTTAGCAGAAAAGCAGAAAAGGAAATAAGCAGAAAAGGAAAAAAGCACCAGGCCCAGATTGTGTTACACCAGTCTGTCTGAAATCCTGTGCTGACCAGCTGGCCCCCATCTTCACACAGATCTTCAACCGATCACTGGAGCTGTGCGAAGTCCCTTCATGCTTCAAACGCTCCACTATCATCCCCATCCCAAAGAAATCCAAAATTACAGGACTAAATGACTACAGGCCTGTGGCTCTAACGTCTGTCGTCATGAAGTCTTTTGAAAAACTGGTGCTGGCCCACCTGAAGGACATTACTGGACCCTTGCTGGATCCTCTTCAGTTTGCCTACAGAGCAAACAGGTCTGTGGACGATGCAGTCAACATGGGACTGCATTATGTTCTGCAACATCTAGACAGACCAGGGACTTACGTGAGGATCCTGTT